GAGGTGCAAATATAAATCTCAATTCAATTCTAACCTTAAAAATATTACAGTATAATGGTATAAGTATGTATTATAATAATAGGATAATATGTTAGTTTAAGTATAAATACTCTGTGTGTGTGTGTGTGTGTGTGTGTATTTTTTCCCTTCCTTGAAATTACTGTGGGATTAAAGGAAAAAAAAACCATGTTTTTAAAAAATATTTATTTTTTATTTTGTAGTTGGACACACAATACCTTTATTTCACTTATTTATTTTTACGTGGTGCTGAGGATGGAGCCCAGGGTCTCGCACTTGTGACACAAGCATTCTGCCACTGAGTCACAGCCTCAGCCCAAGAAAAAAACATTTTAAAATACACTTTTGGTGGAGCAAAAGGAGGGAGAACTAAGAAGGCATACCTTTCTTTAAACTGTTAAAAATAATTAGCTTGTTTACTAATATTATGATCAGAGGGAAAAATGCAGATGCTTTTGTCACTGTGATGAGTGTAATAAAATATTTTATATTTAGATGATTTATTTCATTTTTACATTTGAACTGCCTGCCAAGACAGTTCCAATTTGTGAAGTAATCTCCAAACATTTATTTCTTTGTCTCTAATTTGAAGGAGTCTGGCAATATCTCTGATTCAGATGGGTAGTTTGTATATTTAACCAGTCAATGCTAAATTACTTTTAATAAAATCCATTTGGACTGCTGCTGTCATTGATGATAACAGTGAGATATATACATATATATTCTCTGCCTGGTTAAATTGCCTGAGATATTTTAGATCATTCTGAGGAAAATAATAAATGGGAGAAGTAAAATCAACACATGAAAATAATTTGTTCTATGTATACAGTAGCTCCCATCCATTAGTTATTCTATTTAAATTATAATGAATTGGCACAGAAGGATGTATGTCATTTGAGATTGGGTCTGGTATGTGGAAGAAACTAAAGAGGAGAAATAAGAAACTACTATCAAGTTCTTATTCAGTTCTCTTATGGATACACAGGATAGCAGGTTGATAAATTATATCACATCTTATTTGTCCTGCTACTGACATAAGAACAGTAAGAGTAAAATCATGTGAATATGGCTTCATTCTTCATCTATACCCATTTATTCATCAAATACTTGATGCATGTCAGACATTGTTGGAGGTGCAAATATAAATCTCACTTCAATTCTAACCTTAAGAATATTATAGTATTATAGAATAGATATACATCATCATAATAGTATAAGTATGTAAGTATACTATGTGTATAAAATACCTATAATAGAAAGACTATAATTATAGCAATTTCATATATTAATCTTATGCATTAAGACCTAAATTTAGATTTAAGATCTAAAGTCTCATCTTCAGTGAAGCCTTCCCTGATTCTCCCAAGTCTAAGTTGTCTGTCTCTTCACACAGGATTTGCAATCAGAGTTTCTGTAATGATCATCAATAGCAATACAGTTGATGCTTCTCTTTCTTACTGAATTTAAGGCTCTTGGGGGAAGAGAGGGGACTCAATACTCTTTGCACCTCCACTGAGACTATGTCAGAGAGAGCTGGCAACAGTGTTTGCTAAATGAGGAAATAAATGAATCAATAAATAATGCAAGATAGAATTTCTGAGGGGAATAGATGAAGTCATAAGAAAGGGGCAAAGTAATAAGGAACTTTTATGAGTTATGGTTAACAAAATTCTTGGGATGTGTTGTGAAATAGTGAAAAAAAAAAAAAACATGGGCTTTCATGTTCCCTAGGAAAGCTAATAACTAATAGCTAAATTTCATTAAGTGCTCAGTTACATGCCAGGCACTTTTCTAGGTGTTTTATGTGTAGCATCTTATTTATTTCTCACAGTAAGTAGGGTCGATTATTTCCATTTTACTGAAGAGGAAACTGAAGCACAGAGGAAATGTCATATGTAAGATTATGCAGATGTGCTCTATATGTGTAATATGAATCGTAATGCATTCTGTTGTCATATATAACAAATTAAATTTTTTTAAACAAAGATTGTGCAGGTAGAAGCAATGAAACCATGATTCAAGTCTAGAAAGTCTTAATTGCTAGTTAGCTACATCAATGTTATCTATCCAAGCCTTAGTTTTAATCTATAAAATAAGTTCTGTAGGACTACCCTTATCAAATTGTCACAAATCAATAGATGAAAGTATATATAAACTGCCTAAGATAGTGCACAGCAAAATCCACATCTCAAGAAGAGTTATTTCCTCACTTTTTGTCAGTCAAAAGTTCTTTTAGAAATAAGTTTTGAACATGTTAGATAACAAGATTAGAACTATACTTCTTATGCTATCAAGGGAAGATTTGAAATTGTTCCCCTGGATTCATTTAGCATTGGAATTCCCACGGGGAGACCAAGTCAGTCAGCATCACAGGAATGCTAGAGGACAAAATGCCCTATAGCCCATAAAAGAGTCAGTTTGACACTGAGCATATTTGTATTTTTCCTCTATTGTGTATAGTTCCAATCATAGCTGTGCACGTGAATGTGATGTGTGTTGATAATCTATATAACAGGTTGTAATGGTCAGTTTCATGTGTCAACTTGATTGAGCAACAGTACCCAGATATATGGTGAAACATTATTCTGGAAGCTTCAGTGAGAATGCTTTTGGGTGGGTTTTACTTTTAAATCATGGACTTTGAATAAAGCAGATTACACTCTATAATGTGAGTGGGCCTCATCTAGTCAGTTGAAGTCCTGAAGAGAACAGTAGACATACCGACCAGAAGCAGAAGGGAATTTGGCCAGCAGGCAGCCTTAGAGACTGAACTGCAGAATTGGATCTTCTCTGGTTTCCACTCTGTCAGCCTGTCCTGCAGATTTTGGACTTGCCATTCTTCATAACTGCATGAGCCAATTCCTTACAATAGATTTTTTTTTTTTTTTTGCCTGGTGCAAAGGTGCATGCCTGTAATCTCAGTAGCTTGGGAGGCAGGAAGGCTGCAAGTTCAAAGCCAGCCTCAGCAATTTAGTGAGTCCATAAGAAACTTAACAAGACCCTGTCTTAAAATAAAAAGGTCTGGGAATGTGGTTCAGTGGTTAAACAGTCTTGGGTTCAATCCCAGGGGTGTTTTTGGTACCAAAATCAATCAATCAATCTCTTTTTATACATATACATATCTTATATTTATATATATACATATCTTATTGGTTTTATTTTTTGAGAGCACCCTAATGGAAGGCATTCTCTAATTTTTAATTGAATGATCAATAATAGAATTTTGTAGTAGAAAAATATATATTATTGTTGAAACACTGAAGATATGTTTGTGTATAATCTCAAATTTATTTCTTACTGTAAAACTAGTTAATCCATCTTCTGTGATCTTTCCATTCAGTTGTATTTTGAGTGTGTGTGTATGTGAGTGTGAGTGTGTGTGTGTGTGTGTGTGTGTGGTGCTGGGGATAAAACCCAGGATCCTTCATATACTAGGCAAATGTTTTACCCCTGAACTGCACTCTCAGCACCATTCATTTGTACTTTGATTTAAAAACATGTATTTATATTTATTGGAAATATATAACAGTCAATATAAGTTATAAATTATAAAATATATTGTCAGTTATAGAATAGCTTTAAAGTTCTCCCTGCAGATGAAGATAGGCACTGGGGATAGGAAATGGGTGATACTCTTGGGGAAGAAAGTGCCGGGGTCAAAGACTTACAGTGTAGCTTCTTGGCATCTGTTTTTTTTCCTGATTTACTTGCTGCTCCAAAAATTCTTAAGATTGTCATAAGACAACATATGACCAATGATGGTCTTGAGACTATGCTTCGATTTACCTCAAAATTTCAAGAGAAATTGTCCCAGACAGTAATTGACCTAGGTATATGGAGAAAAAAAAAACTTTTGAAGATAAAAATTTCATTTATCTGTGATTTGGGGGCACAATCTTGGCAGTTGGTTATAATATGTCAGTACTTCCCCAGTGACGTGGTATTCTATATATATATGGAAAGTTAAAGGATACATACCACCTACTTTTCTCCAGAGTAAATGTCAGTTTTATTGAAAAAGAATAATTTGCTCAAACAGTATGTTAAAATTGTTGTTTCTTATTGACATACACATCAATTATATTATGGAACAGAATGCAAAACATGCACATATTTGAGAAGTTCATTGTCTATCCCCCCCAACCCCAACCCCCAGGACTGGGAATTGAAACCAGGGCCTTGCACATGCTAGACAAGTGCTTTACCACTGAGCTACACCCTCAGCCTTTGTTATTTTTTATTTTTTTATTTTGAGAGAGGATCTCACTAAGTTGTTCTGGTTGTCCTTGAACTTGCCGTTCTTCTACCTCAGCCTCTTGAATAGCTGGGACCACAGGCATGTATCACTATGCTCCGCCCACACTTTACAAAACTTCTAAGAAAGTTTGCACTTATAGATGAGTGGCTTCTGGTGGTTTCCTAGCTCCATGAACCAGTGGTGCTTTCCACTGGTTTGTACTATAGCCCCCAAAACACCACATTGGTTCATTATATTTCTAATACTACATTTTAATATTATACTTTCACCATTCTCAGCAGTATGTTTTGAATGAAGAATTTTCAAAAGCATGGTCTTCCACTAGTTTTAGAAAGTGATAAATATTGAAGAAAAGGGGAAGGTAGTAGCTCCATTTGAGATGAATTAAAAAACGAACCCACTCTCTTAAAGAAGAGGTAACAGAAAGCCAGAGAGTTTTAATGACACTATTTTATTTCGCTTTTGCTTTTCTTTTCTGCAAAAGCTCACTTTTTAGTAAATGTTTTTACAGCCTTCATTTTAGTTCTTATTTCAAGCGCAACAATTTATTAAGAACCTCTAATTCTAGGTCTCTACATGGGATTTCATAATTCTCCTTTCAGCAACTCTATGGGATAGACACAACAAATAACCTAGTAAATGGCACAGATTTGTCTTCAGGTCTCCAAAGCCTAGGGTTTTGGCACATGGTCATACAGACTCCCAACATCTTTGTTCTCCAGCTTTACCCAGTGAAACTCCTTTGCTGGGCCGTAGACATGTTAGAGGTGAAGGTTTGTGTCCAAATAATGCTGTGCAGTTTGTTTCAAGAAAGTCCATGTTTCATGAGCCTGCAACAGAGGTAAACACAAGTCATGATCTATGAGTATGGAAAATACATACTGCTTTGGTGATTCTGATTATCATGCAGATTTTCCTAAAAGGGGAGAAATATGATGGAAGAATTATATCCACTAGCGTGTAATTTTCATACTTTCAGTGATCTGTTTGTGGCTTTTTTATGATGCTTGGGCTAGAACCCAGGGCCTCATGCATACTCTCAAGCCCTCTGCCACTGAGCTACATCCCAGTCCTTTTTATTTTAAGACAAGGTTTGGCTAGTTGCCCAGACTGGCTCGGAATTTGTGATCCTTCTGCCTCAACCTCCTGAGTTGCTCGGATTGCAGTATGCATCACTGCACTGCTATCTATTTGTTTTATGCTCAAATGTGTTGTAGCACTTGTGGGGCTACAGTATGGACCGATATGGGAGTCTTGTTATGTTACAGAATCTGTCTGTTGATTACAGAACTGTTCTACAATCACAGGCAGGAGTGTGCTTGAAAATTTCAACATTCCATAAAGAAGACACAGTCTGCCAGCCTCTGTAATTATTTAATTTGCCAAATAAACAAATGTCTTGTTTCAATACTTCTAAATGATGCCTGTTGGAAGAAAACAGGCATAAAACTAGATGTGATATTCAAGCTGGTGGTTTTCATCAGCAAATGCTAAGCAGAAACAAGATCATCCTGGTAGAGCAGTTAAGACCCAGCCATGCGAGTAAGTATAGGACTGAGGCTACATGAAAACAAGAACATTCAACGTTTTATAACCTTATACAACCCTCATGCCTGGTGATGGTGAGAGTCTGATACACATGGAAAGAAAGAATAAATAAGTGAATGATAATTAATGAAATGATTTGTTGTATAGACTTTCCCCCTTAAAATTGTTAAGTTGTAATAGAGAAACTGCGAGCAATTAAAATCCTCAGATAATTTAGCAATTTCATTTGGCTCAGAGTTTCCATGTTTTCTTCCATCAGAAAAGTACACATGAGATAAAACTGGCTAATGCAAGTTTCTTCTTTATTTCTCTTGGAGTGGGAATGCAAATGAATAGGAAAATGTACAAAAGCCAAACAAATGAAGGAAAAACATAAAAGACCTAGAGAATTATCACAGGGGAAAATTACCCACTCTACAGCTGAGAGTAAATGACAATGGACCCACTATCCATTTATCCATCTAGCCAAACATGCAATCATTTATTAAGCCTTGATTGCATAACAGTCATTTTACTAGATCCAAAGGATAATTACCCTCATTGATAAGACATAGACATTATCTTTATAATCTAGATAGGGAAGTTGCATCATGAAAGAAATAATTCCAAAATTTCGAGAGCTATTCACAAAAGAGAGGGACAATTACTTCCTTGAAAAGAATGGGAAGACTTCAAAGAGGAGAGCACACTTGAGCTTGTTTTTTAAGCAAGAGATGGCATGTATTAAGTATGAGCCACTTTAGGGAAAGGAAAGAGCATATAGCCCAGAACAGTTAGAGAGAAAAAACTGAGCCCAGGCTAGCAGTATGCTACCATCAGCTGATGCACTGCCAATTTTAAAAGATAAATGGGGAAGGATGATTTGTTTCAAAGAGAAGTACCTGATGAGCCAGTGTGATTCCCCACCCATTGGAACTGTAATCTGGGTCCCAGTAATCTTGCAAGTATACATGTCTTTTGAGACGTAGGAACTGGTTTGCTGGGTCCTCCAACAAAAATGGCGCTCCCAATGCTCCTGCAATTCAGAGTCCAAGAGCATCACATCTTTTAGGGCAATAGTTTACATTTTGATGTTTCCTCTTAAAGAGACACAACTGTGGTCTTTGGAAGTCTGGATGCCTCAGAAAGAAACTCTGGAAAAATGAAGTCCTGAAGGAGATGGTTACTCCTTGGCCCTTTGTCACTATTACAATGTCACAACTCCAACCTGCATGTAGTTCAGTGCAGAAGCCAGCATAGTGTGGTGGATGAAGAAGGATTTCAGAATTTCTTTACATGCATGGGAGCCTACAGGCCTGGATTAAAGTTCAATCTTTATCTGCTCCTTCTGACACCCTTAATTTTTGAAAGTTGCTTGATTACTCTGAGATTCAGTGTTCTCATGTGTAAAGGGGTGTAATGATAATAACACACCCCAAATTGCTATGAGGACTGGATAAATTAAAGAACATAGGCTATCAGGTTGAAACAAGCCAGCCAACAAATCTTATTCTTGCTTCTTTGGCCTTCTAATATAGATTGTGTCCTTCAATTTGAAATAGACTGTTTCCAAACCTGACTCTGTGGTTTAAATTTTTAATACTCATAGAGCCCTCATTAAATCAAACAAGTTTATTATTTTGTATCTTCTTCCTACTCTAGAATTACTGTGGGAGGAATGATAATTTTTGAAACCCAGACTTTCTTAGGACCCTGAAATTTTAACTGTGTATATTGTATTTTCATTCCTAAGTAACACAAAATACTGTTCAAAATCGTAATTTGAGTCAATAATGTTCTCATAATTGCTTCTTACCTATATATGGCAACAATATAATCTGTTTCTTATTTGTGATATAGAATCATTCATTGCAAAATATAATTATAAGTAATATTACATTAGGTATCCTACAGCCTTATAATTAACAGGTTTTGTTGACCAATTCTCCATACAGACAAGCATTATATGAACTATATAAATCTCCCATTTGTAAGGCAGAAAGTTTAGTTGGAATCAAAGGTCAAAGATACAAAACAGAATAAAATAACATATGATTTGATTGCATAGGAAGATCAGGGATGGCATTATTGAGCATCAAGCAGGTGTTTTGGCACGGGCAGGTGTTTTCATGGTCAAGGAAGTTGCTGAACCTTTTTCTTGAAGGGAATATTAGATTTAGTTGGATGGGAGAAGAGGCCACATTATTTATTATAAGCTGGAGGAATGATGTGAGCAAAAGAATTGGTAATCTTTAAGATCAATATCTGGAAATAATGGTGATAGGTGCTAGATAGAAAAGTTTTTAATGTGAACATTTAACTTCAAACTATATTAGTGACAGATGCCATAAGTAATACTGCCCTGCTATCAACCAGCATGTCTGCAGAAGCCATCCTCTAGGGTGACTCCCAAAGATCATTGCCTCCTATCCTTGTGCAGCCTTTCTTTCATGTAACGGGGCTGCCCTGTGTCACCATAGGACATTGCAGAAATGAAGGAGTATGATTTTGGGGGCTAGGACATAAGGAAACGTTATAGCTTCCATCTTTCCCTGACTTGGTTCATCAGCTCTAAATCAGATGTTATGTTCTGAAGAGACTCAAGCAGCCCTGAGAGAGATAGGCTCACAGGACAAAAGAAATAAAGCTTTCCACCCACAATTATGTAAGTGAGCCACAGTGGAACCTGATGCTTTTGCTCCAGTCAGATGACTGTAGCCCCCATGGACATCTTCACTGTAACATCATAAAACAAAACAAAACAAACAAACCCTGAGCCAGAACCACAGAAATAAGCCACTCCTAAATACTTGACCTTGAAACTGAAATCATAAATGTTCATCATTTTAAGGTGTTAAGAATTGAGGAGAATAGTTATGCAGTAGTACATCATAGTTACAATGCATTTTAAGCGTTTACTAATGCCAAGGTAAATTGCTAATCATCAGGGTTGGATCTAGAGTGAGGCAAGTGAGGCCCTTAGGGGTACAAAATCCTAAAAGAAACTCAGGGGTTATGCACATTTTGTGCTCTAAGTCCCTCAATTTTCTTACTCCTCACCCTGATAATCATTGCATGGGAATACAAACAAAAAATAATTCTTACCAATCACTACTGCATGAAAAGATAGGCAATAAATTGCTGATGTCATCAAGGAGCTCACATTACAGTCAAAGTTCATGGACAATTAGATCCTCATAGTGGAGGTGATTAATTCTGATATTGACACGGAGGCTCATGCAGAAATTGATTTTGAGTTGGGCGTCAGTGGATATACACAGTCTTGATGTCCAGGGGGAAGGGAGTGGAAGCAGAGTGTGTTCCAGGCTAAAAAGGACTGGAAACCCAAGGCGCAGAAGAGTCACTCGAGATCAGGTTCAGGGATCTCACTTTGCCAATGTGTTTAAAATGTTGGGCTTTGGGACCGACCTAGTGAGAGTGTTGGAAAATTGAAGCTCCAGCCAGAAGGGTTTTTACTGTCGTACTAAGGAGCTTGCACGTTATTCTGCAAATATTTAATGATTATTTCTGAACAAGAAGATGATAGGGCCAGATTCAAGAGTTTGAAAACACTTTTATTGTGATAATATTATCTAAAACGTATGTAACATAAGAATTATCACTTAACTTTTGTTGAATGTCTAATTCAGTGGTATTAAGTACATTTACAATATTGTATATCCATCACCACTGTCCACCTCCAGGACCATTTCATCATTCCAAACAAAAACTCTGTACTCTTTAAACAGTAACCTTGCACTCCCTTCGCAGTGCTGGGTAACCACAATTCTCCTTTCTGTTTCTGTGAATGTCTATTCTAGGTACCTCAAATCAGTGGACTCATACAATATTGGTTCACTTAGCATAATGTCCTTAAGGTTCATCCATGTTATGAGAGAGGCAGCATTTCATTCCTTTTTAAGGCTGAATAATGTGTTGTATGTCTGTACCACATTGTGTTCATCCACTCAGATTCACTCTGAAAGATCCTTTTGCCAGTGATGTGGAGGACAGATGGGAAGAGAGCAGAGTGGGGGACACAAGGTTGGAGACTCTTCCAATGACTCTCAATGAGAGATGATTAATTGACAGCAGAGACGGGAAGACAGGATTGATTTGATGAAAATTCAAGGGAATTTCCATTTATTTGCCTAGTATGAGCAAACCAGCACTGGAAGTTTCTGTTTTACCTGAGAGATGCTAATAGGCAACTTTTCAGAATTCTTTTTATTCTTTTTGTTAAAAAAGTGTGAGGGGGTGTTAGTCACAGTGTTACAATATCTATGTATGATCCTGTTTCCAAACAAAGAGAGTAGCTATGTGAAGTCAATTCAGTACTGTCAATAAGTAATAAATATTTGTGAATAAATGAGGCTTACTATATAATTTCCAGGTAGAAAAAAAAGCTATAGTAATGGCTTACCATAGTGTTATTTGGAATCACCCCAAAGTAAAACCTATATTCCACCACAATTATTCTGGTGTATGGTACAATCACTATGAAAAAAAGTACTAGTATGTAAATCTTGGCAAAGAAAGATGCTTTAAAATCGTGCCGTGATTGTCTTAAGCTCTAATAATTCTGTCTTTCGTAAATCTTCTATCTTTTACTCATGGAAAATATTTCACTGATATAATCTTCTCTCTATCTCTCTCAAAGGTAAAACTCCTACTTCAGCATTATAGGTCCAACAGGCATCCAATAAATATTAATTGATGGTGATAATAACATCACCCAGGAGAGAGACAGAAAGTAGTATTTATTATCCTACATTACAAATGAGAAAATCGACACGCAGGGATGAAATGACTCACTCAAGGTCACATAGTAAGTCAGTGGCAGGATTGGAAATAAAATGCAAGTCAGATAGAAGGGCATGCTATTATCTTCTCTGCTTGAGAAATTTCTCCACCCTTTTTCATTTTGCCTAATCAACCTTGAAAGTTAGTGAGAACAAAGCCAGGGTTTTGAGTTTGTGAATCTATATAATACTTCTAGGGCTTGAAAACTCAAACCTGAGTTTTATTGCTTTGTTGGTTTTTAACTAGGTATTTTTTTAAATGTAGTCACTATCAGCTAGGTTAATGCCTTTTATAAAGTTTATGATCATGAGCCATGAAAAATATCTTTCTCTTTTTCTTTCCAACTCCCTGCACAACCTCTTTCTCTTCCTCTTGCATCAGTCCATTTTAATAGGATTTGTCAATGTTCTTTCTAAATATTTCACAAATATCTTCAGTGGAAAATTCTGTACCATAGAAATAATGCAGTCACATCAGAGTACGGAGCTATTCAGAGTCACAATTCCCCAGGTAAGCCAAGAAGATCCAAGTCTTTTCCTGGCCCTGCTAGTGCTTAGCTAGTTCACTGAGCCACTTCTTATTTCTGCACCTGTCTTTCTGTTGTCAAAAGAGGCAGAATTGCCTTCTCTCTAAGATCTCTTCTTGATTAATTGCTTTGAACTGGAATGTATTTATGACAAATAGGTGATTAACCAGAAACTCTCTTCTCTGCATGTTATCATGTTAGTTACATACCAGCATATAGAATAAGCTAAGTGGGCACTAGACCTTGCCAATAATGAAAGCAAAACAAAGGAAAACATATTCACATTATGAACAAAGGGCTGAGTGCCCATCCCAAGCTGATGAAGAACCCGTGAATACTGGAAAGGGCACCTTTAGAAATGGGAAGACACCTCTCACTAGCATACTAGCATCACCCAGGAGGGCTGCAAAAGTCTTTAAACTTAATGGTAAAGAAATGACCGAATATTCTATATACTTATGATGAAAATGATACTTGCAGTAGGAGCCTCTGCACTAAAAAGATCAGAAAGCCTAATGTGAAACTTCATGCACAGAATTACAGGCTCTGATAGTAAATTCTGTTTTCTTTCACACACAGGCATTACTCTTAAAGTAAATCTCGGGTTCCTTTTCACTCCTTTGCATACCCTGACCCTGGAAAGAGCAGTGCCTCATTCAACTGATAAATCTGAGAAGCATAACTTGGTATGTCTAATTCAGCTCTTG